ATTACTTCGACATTCACAGCCGATTTTTATCTGGATAAAGTCATGATGTCGCCCATGAGGTCTAGATAAGACCAGTTCAGCTGGTGTCATCCCGGTTTGCCAACACTCACTTTGCCAACTGCCTAAATTGCTGACAATCAGTTTTAATTAAAAAAAGAAAATTTTATCATTAAATATATAAATTTTATAGTAAAATATAGAAATTTTATAAATATGGAAATTTTATGATACATGGATATTGTATATAAAATACAGAAATTGTATAAAATATAGAAATTTTATAAAATACAAGCTGTCCGGACCCGGCGTTGCCCAATATATATATATATATATATATATATGTTGTCTTCATGTCAGAAATGTAACCAATAATCTCCTTAATATATTGATATTAAGGAGTTGTAAAACTAAAATATATTTTTAAACGTGTTTCGTTCGTCTTGTCAAAGTCGTTGCGGGCCAACTCTAATTTTCTTATTTTTTTCCCTTCCCCTCGTCGAATACTTGCGCTGTGCAGGCTAACAGCTAGCTTCAGTTATATACAACTTATACTGTATACCTATGTATAGTTTCAGACCTTTTGTTAGGTCATTAAAAAACGTTATATTACTTATTTTAATCCACGCGATAACGTGCGACAATATATTTATTTAGTTGGTAATAATTAAAAAAGTTTCCGGTGAGCGCACACGGTGTTAATTTGGACAATTCGCCGCCGTTATAAGCCCAACCTGATGGCCGGTAGTAAATTTAATTAGCACCGTAGATTATAGGGTTCTATTATATTATTATTATTATTATTATGATAACAGTACGGAGGCTACAATCTCGGCAAACAAAATATTATTCACAGGTATGGGCGCGAAGGACAATTTTCTCATTGCAAAATGTATCAGCTAGTGAAAGCCGCACTCAGAATGCATAATATACTGAATTCGAATATTGTACGATGACTCGAACAGGCTCAAACCACCGTCCTTTGTAGAAATCATTTAAAATATCAAAAATATGAACATTATAGCAGCTAATTTACGCCCAACATCAAGACTAAAAAGTCCTAGAGACTCTCGACAGGTTTTTCGATGAATGTTTGGATAAAGAAAGACCTGAGCTATTCTTTTTAAAAACTCATATTAGATATTGTGTCTAAATCATTATTTAAGTTGAAAAATCACTTGACCAAATTCGGTCGAACCTCTTTTGTCGGACATCTATAATACAAAGACGTTATATATATATACATATATTTTTTTTTACACTGTTGTGATCGAATTGCACGTACAATAATAATTGTTTGTGCTACTACACGGCTGTTAACAGGCAAACAATAGGCGTTTACCCGAGCCGTCTACTCGTGTGTACACATGCAATTGCACCTGCCACCTGTTCATTGTAGGACAACAATTTATCGTTAAGTACTCGATGTTGTACACAGATTACACACATTACAGACCGCCGTAAAAAACACTTAACGTCGCACAACCGTAGGTACACACAATAATAATAATATGGTAGTAGGTAGGTACATGTTTTTTTTTTTTTCAATTTTTTGTACACTTTCTGACACATCGTTAGTATTGTAATACAACCACGGATAATTTCTAATAGTTTGAAACGTTTAGGTTAAATTAATCACGATTAATGTTTAATTAAATGTATTTAAAATAATGTTAATATTGTTTTTAAAATGATTAATTTTTTTTCATGCTGCTTACTATTTTTTATAAATAACTCCAAAGAACAGATTTTGTCTCTTATCGTTGATAAAAAAAAAATGTTTAATACGTCTCATTGTCGAACGAGTCTCGCTCTAGACAAGTTTCTTCCTTTCTCCTTGAATAATCCTCCTTGCCCCTTGGAACGTTGAAACATAACATTCTTAAAGTGTATATTGTGCTATATTAAACTGTGCATTCCTATTAAGCATCTAACTAAGTATATTATAAGTAAATGTTTGAATACTTGACAATTTGATATTTATTCGAGGAATTTTAATCGGAATTCTACAGTTGGAGCTTCGCCGTGTCTTTGGGTCATAAAAATAATTATAATTATCTCATCGGTTCCACTATTTTCATCTAAATAAATCTATTGGACTTTAAAGTTTAATATTTAAAAATCAATTAGGTACTTGGAGTAATTAACGTACAAACAGAATGGATTTGGGTTATGTAAGACAATATTCGGATTTTTTATTTTTCCCAGAGCTCTATCAACTTGTAAAACTTGAACGGCGACATGTATATTTAATTAAGTTTCCAAATTAAAAATTGTTTGCTGAAATTGTCGGCTGATCGTTTTGGATAATAATTACTTTTAAAGTATTGACCAATACTTTATTCTTAATTTAATAAGTTATTTAAATGTACGCTTTACCGTTAAAGGTTTAAAAGTTAATAGAGGTCTGGAAAATACCGATAAAAAAGTGAAATATTATAATTATTACTAAAGGTAACATATTATTTACTTATATTTTTTAAAACAACATAAACAAAAAAGTTCAAAATTGCAATTATTTGAAGAAATATCTATCCTGACTTATCCTTAACGAATCACCACCTTAAATAGATGTTAAGAAATATTTTTCCGTTTTAACGTGTTGCGCATATGATATTAATTGTATAAGCGCATATTATTTAAAGCTTAATACTATAAGACATTTATTAAAAACATATTATAACATAATATAAATCGAAATGCTTGTTGAATAAAATACCAATCGAAACAAGAGGTCCTTTTTGTTGCAGTTGTCGTCGTTCTCGGCAACCGGTAAAATTATCAACCATTTTTTTCCCTTCTTTTTCGTTGGAATAAAAAATACATTTTTTTTCAAAAAATGTTTTCCGGTGAAAACCAATTTTTTTAAGTTCAGTCCCGGATTTTGTTTGACATCATGTGGGCTGTTTTTCCACGAAATCTTTTTTAATCCACACAATACAAATCTATATATATAACGATTTTCCATGGCACGCGGACTTCTTATTTTAAATTACTTTGCCGCATTAATAATATTGTATAATGTTTTAAAATAGTGTATAGGTAGGTATACCGTTCCACGCCAATTCGTATAGTAATTCAAGTACACATAAAAATCAGCCTTTCTGGTGGTTACTGGAAATTTCATCTCAAACCATTCACAACGCCGTTTTCTTTGAAAATTCTAAAAGGAAAACAACACAGTCGAACAAAAATTATAGTAATGAATTTCCTACTGCAATGGTTGTACTAAAGTATAGGTATTAATTGACATAAGCCCAAAATTATCACACATAGGATTAGAGTCTATTGCCCGTGTACAATTATTTTGTGCCGTTGTTTCCTCAATATATAATATACCTATATTAACAATAGGTACATGAAACTATAATATTAACTATGAATAACAATTTTGCAGATTGCCTGTTTTGGAGAGCTTTCTTTAATAATAATAAACAATTTGACTACAACTTTTTGAATGTACAGCATATTATGCTATAACTGCACTTAAGACCTTCAGTGTAATTTTCAAACCTTAACCTCTAAAAATGCACCTAAAAAGCTAAATAATGAAAAATTTTCCACCTCTTTTGGAGATATAATAATATTATTATTGTCAACTGTTTTATCATAATTGCTTAGACCTTGTGCGGATTAATTTTGATTGAAAAATTATTTATTGTTTTGTAAATATTTATTTAATTATAAATATATACTTATATACATTCGATTTTTTTTAATTTAAAAATAAAATATATGTCAATATTAAATAAATGTTCAGAAGTAAATAAAGGTTTGGTTATGTGCATTTAATTAAAAATAAAAGTTCAAAATTAGTATTTGTAAAATATTTTAGGGATATCGCAATAATAATGTTATCAAATCCTTGAAAAACATATTGCATCTTAAATAAATTTTACTTAGATCTTAGATCATATTGTTAAATAAAAAATAAACCTAATAATAAACCTTTATAATTGTTTATTGCACAATGTTGTATGAACGTTAAAGAACACCATATTATTAAATCCAATTTTACTATGTATGATTATCAGCTGGCTATGCTATGTAGGTATCTAAAAGTCAAAGTTAAACAATAGGTACTCGACCTTTTTTTGGAGGGTCTTTTTTTTTAGGGTGAAGAAGTAATTTATTTTATTGGAATGTAACCTTTTACACGTATAATAAATATTATGGCGGGTTGCCTAAGAGTTTATTTAAGGTTTAATAGGAATCAATAGAAGTTTAATGGTTTCTTAAACATAAATTAAGGAGATTGGTCCGTTAAATTTTAATGAACCATTAGATATATTAATTTTTTGTGCAACCCAGCAGTTGTATAATATACCGGGTGAGGTTAGGTTTAATTATGATGAATTACATTAATTGTTAATTTTGACAAACATTTTACTCGAGCTTGCCTGGTTTTTTTAACCCGGTATTTTTTTTAAGTATTTTTACACACATCAATCCAACGTCATATGAATAATAATAGATGTACGATTTTCCATTACTTATTCGAAACTAATGTCTTTATAGAATTTTCAATTGTCCTCGAATTTTGTTTTTTTTTTGGGTTTTTTTAGTGGTCATGTTAAACATTTAAGTAAACAATATGTTCGATTCAGACACACTTTTTTTAGCGGTTATGTGCACACAGATGGTTTAGTAAATTACATATTTTGTTTTCAACTTCTATCTTTGAATTTATATATATATATATATATATATATATCATATAAAAACCAATATTACATTTTTTTTTAAAAACGACCTATACACGACCTGTTACATCATACACAATGTGTAACAGCTATTAAATTCTCTAACATCGGTAATGATAAATACATTTTTTATTCTTTATCCGCATTACAAAAAAATGAGAGTTGAAAAACAGCCGTGCAGGGGAACGATGTTTCTAAAAACAAGACGGCAAATAATAAATACCGATGCGTTTAATATAATATAATATAATAATATATTCTTAGGTAATACACAAAAACATAATATTTTGTCTTTGGAAATAACAGCTAAGAATATCGAAAAAGTCGCGATTGAGAATAATCACATTTTTATTACAAGTAACAAAGCAAGTTATTAACGATAGTTTGGTCGTTGGTATAGTAATATAATGTCATAAAAAAAATTGGTTGTTCGCAAAAAAAGAAAATACCGCTCGTTATAAAATTAGTCGCGGATCTAAAAATATGGAAAGTGCACTTTAAATGTTCATAATACACAGTTACATACTAGCATACAGTAAAACTTAATCTAGTATCATAGTTAAAACTAATTATTATTGGTGCGAGAGTTAAATTTAATTTGGCAATAAGATTTTAAAAAAAATTATCCAGCCTGCTTTTGACTAACGAAAGCTATATGTATCAAGATTCGACACACTAACTCTAAAGTACGTACTTAGTCAATAGAACACATTTAGTTATTTAAGAGGAAGATAAAAATTACAATTAATTATATTAATTATTATGTGGGTTTATGACTAAAATACAATAACATTAATACTAAATACTTAACGAGAGTAATATTTTTTTTTTTTGAGTTTAATACATTATTTGAGTTATAAAAAAAAATTGTAAAAAAAATTGTATACAAAATAAAATTGATTTCATAAAAAAATTAATAATAATAATAATAATGATAATAATAAAATAATACAATTGGTAAATAATGCTTTAACACATAGATTTGGAAGAGATAAACATAAATAAAACACTATGGAATAAAGTTAAAAAAAAATAATAATAATAATAATACTGCGTTTAGTAAACGGGTCGTGGAATGATGATCGACTGGATATGTTGGTATTATTTTACCAAATTCATAAACATTAACAGACTTAACAATAATATCAACGAATAAAACAAAAATAAAATAAAATTTCAATGGTCCATTTGTGTTTTATTCAATGTTATACTTAATACTGTTTTTAATATACATATTATATAATAAACTAAAATAAATTAAATTTATGTTTCAAGACCCTATAATCCGTTCCCCGAGAGAATAACCACTTGACGCATTCAAACGACAAGTAGCACTGTTGTCTCGAAGGCACGTTTCCTCTACCGTGCGGTAGTTCTGATTGGCCGCCGGACGCCTTCTCTCGGGGAACGTAGTATGGTAAGCGCATTAAACATAAATCTCACACTCTCCTACAAAGTATAGTTTGGACTAACCTTCTTATTAGATTATTTAGTCTGTCTTTCAAAATAGTGATGTTTAAACGTAATAATTATGGTCAAATAATATTTACTCCTAAGGCAGTTAGAACTATGTGCAAGTGTAAAAACGGTTAACAGTACTGTACTAAAACTACACAACACATGCTAATTTGATAGAGAGATTGACTATTAAGTATACTATAGTACAGAGCGTTATTGCGAGGCACTTTAAAAACATTAATTACTTGCAGCAAAAGACAGAATAGATAAACAAATAAATGTTGCGCGTTAATCGCATACACTATTCAACACAGCTTATACACATATTATTGCACTGATTACACAAAAAACAAATAAAAAAAAAAAAACAAAAACATTTTAACGTAAAAAAAAATAATAATAATAAAAATCCTTATTGTATAATATCTAATACTTTTATTGTAATTTTGGTTTATTGGAACTTCAGTTCTCCTTTATTTGGCGGGGTCATAAGAACCTTGAATGTCTCTGGTAAGATTCCCAGCGGGCATCATCGGATTCGTGTGTTAAATACCTCAAACCGCTGCCGGTAGTCCTTTCTAGTTCTCTTAAATCGCACCAAGTCTGATAGTCCTAAAAACGAACACACGTATATAAATATCATAAAGGAAGTCAAATTGAGTTTATTCTTAACACTAGTTTATCGACTGCCAATATTTGTAAGTTTGTTAAATAAACAAAAATCAAGTTTCATATATTTTAATTAAACAATATCAATAGCTAACTTAAAAAAGGAAGTCATTTTTACAAGTTTTTTTGACTGGTCGACAAATAAATACTTTCAGAGTTATAAGCGTTAATAAGGCAGAAGAGAGATGCAGAGAAATATATATTTTTTTCCCCGTGCACTGAGCTCAATTCTTTAATAAAATTCCAAAGTTCCTCTCTCCTAAATGTTTAAATGTTAGTAATTCCAAAGATATAAAAAACAAAAATAACACCGGTAATAAAATAACTAGTAAATATTTTATATTCACCTGCAGCCATACGTGTACCAATGATTTATCCACGGTAAATCGTTTTCTCTGTTTGACTTGCAACAAATTAGCAATGAGGTCAATGGCTGTAACAAAAAACGCAAAATATAAATTACTAATTCAAAAAAACTAATTATTTTAATTTACCAAACGTCATACCCAATGACGTTTTTTACTCAGGAAATACCAAAATTGGGTTAATAATCTTGTAAACAAATAAAAGTTCAAAGACAAAAATACCTAAAGAAAAAACCGTTCAGTAATTAATAAACTAGTTAACCGGTAGGTAGGATTTTTCTGTCATATTTATTTACAATATTATTACACTCTATGTTTTAAAAAAAATACAGTGTACATTTCCTTTCCCCCCCCTCCTCCAAGACCCGTAGCCCTTCTTGCTTATTAATTATGTTTGACTGTCCAACGTCCGAGACAGAAACATGACAAAATGTTATATTTAATTTTCTGTAATTAAAAAACAAATACTACTCAATAATTATTAAACATGTATGCACCATCGTGAGAAATTTCCTTCCATGGGTTTCTGGGATACATGAAAGCGGCATTTTGTATTTGATCGTTGATATCTTCATCCTCGTTGAATGGAAAGGTTCCGCTCAGGCTGACATACACTATCACTCCGACACTCCACATGTCCAACGATCTGTTGTATCCTTTGTTGCGTAACACTTCTGGGGCTACATTAAAACAATTAAAAAAAAAAATCATAATACATAATATGTTTTCTGATCACATGACACAATAATAATAATAATAAAATTAGTAATGTTCATTATTAAGACTTTTGCCAACCTAGGTAAGCAGGAGTGCCGACCACTGATCGGCGAAAAGACTTTTCTCCGATGATTCGAGCAAAACCGAAATCGCATAGTTTTACTTGTGGAAAATCATCAGAGTTGGAGCTAAGCAGTACGTTCTCGGGCTTTAGATCACAATGAACTATGTTTTTACTGTGCAAGTGTTTTAGAGCTACGAGAATCTAAAAACGAAATATAATATAAATTAGCCAAACAAAATACGGTTGTCCGTAAACCAACAGTACACACTTGAGTGATCAAAAACTTGGTGATGCGCTCCGATAGCCGACCACGTTCGCTGGACAATATCATTTCCAACATGTCTCCTCTCAGTTTTTCCATTACAACAAAGATCCGCTCCACAGTCTCGAACATACAATCCAAATTCACCACTCCAGGGTGTTCCAGTTTGCCAAGAATGGCTACTTCGTTTTTCAGAGCGGCTTCTTGTTTGGTGGGGAACCTCAGTTTGTCAATGACCTTGATAGCTACAGATTTGCCAGACTTCCTATGTTTGCCTGTAGGAATATATTACGATGGCGTTGGTCACTAACAGTTGAAACAATATTGGATGTCCAATAATCATACCTCCGTAAACTATACCAAACTGACCGGAACCCAACACCTCGTCTGGGAATATTTGATATAATTGACTCATATCGGCAATGTTCTGTTGTTGTTCGTTGGCCTCGATAACTGATCGCGAATCTGCAATACCCAACACACAAACAATAACAGATTGTGATTAGTGATTACTTATGAAGATATTTTTCAATCTGTCACCACACTACTGTTATTAAAAATATGAAATTTTAACAAATATCAAACAAATTTTAGGAAATTAGCTGAGGTCATACAAAATTTGTTCAAAGTTAAGCTATAAAAGAACACAAACCTAGTTAGCATTTAAGCCTAAAACTTTTATGCCAATAAAGTTTGTTGGCAGCTAGATTTAAATGTTGATTTTGTCATTTTCATAACAATTTATCGTTGATAACAAAATACACTATAATCAAAATCTTACAATGTAACGGCGGAATGCAAAATGTATTCAATGAAATTTGTAGAAAATAACATACACTCAACTTCTAACTGGCAAGATTAAAAATTAGTGGTTGAAGTTGTAGAAATAACCCAAAATCAGTGATAGTATTAACTTTTGTTCTCCAAAAATAAATTTTCCTGAGATCAAGTCATTCAATCAGTAAATTTACTCAATGGTTTTTTTTTTTAATGAAAATCAAATCAAAGTTTACTATAAAAAATTTTTTTAAAAAAACATTGTTGATAAAAAAATACATTTGACATTCCATAAATAAAATATAATATTTCTCATAATTGTAGGTTACACGGGACACTCATGTTACTATGTTTGTGTGATTTGCCTAATTTTTTTTACATTTCAGTTAGATAATTATACACAGTCATCAATATGACATACAACAAACAATATAACACATTTTAATAATAATAGTTTCAATAATATAATGATTACTGAACATTAAATTGACTTACAAAATATCCAATACATAATATATATTTATTATTTTCACCATACGGCGCAGATTATTTTGTAGTCGCTGTATATTTTTTTCAAATTCTACTTTTCTGGCTATAAAAAAAAAGGTATACTGAAATTTAATCGTAATAACATGAATAATAAAAGTAGACATTTTTTTTTTTTTTTTTTTAATTCTTTATTTATACAGTTGAACACAATATGTAAGGCAGTGACGACATAGATGTCAACTGGTGCAGCAAAAACCAACTATTACGTGATTGTTTTTTACAAAATGTTAGCTATTACCCTTTACAATATTTATTTTTGATTCAACTACACTTTTACTTAAAAACTGAAAATTTAAATTTCGTACACTTTTGTTAAAAGTGAAATATTTAAAGACAAGGTCAAGTGATTATACTTTGCCCATAATAATTGTCATTTAATAATAATAATAGAATAAAATCTTTTCATAACGAGTACTATCTTTAAATCAAAGGTCAAATAGAGACAACTCTTTGGCCAGTAGAAAAAATACACTGAAAATTGACAATAAACTTTGCACACAACTGATATTATGATGTCACCACTTAAGTGATCTAAGTTTGAAAGTCTACGTATAGTAAATATTGGCAATTGTTAGTTGAACACATTACGTGAGGTGCAGCATATTTATTATGAAAAGTGAACTATCAAACTGGTCTTGCACATAAATCGCCGACTAAATTAATACACATACAAATAAAAACCGTGTTCTGCAAACAGTATGTTTGTTATATTTACTAGTCATTGCGATTTATTATTAACGTTACATGCAATAATATTCTTGTTTGCACAATTTTTTGAATGTGAGTACGCTAGACTTTTGTTGTAATCGAAAAAATTAATTAATACCTACGGGAAACGTTAGTTACTAAAACCACCAGAAGACAACACTGCTAAAATTGAATACAAAATCGAGGAGTTTGTGAGTATAGTGCGCTAGTTGTTAATTGATTTGTAGACACAAAAGACGTTTTGGTACAAACGACACACAAACATAATAACATGAAGCTAATGGCTAATTACGGTGTAAATAAAATAAAACAATAATTGCTTATATTGTTAACTGTTGGATTTCTTACTTGTAGTGTTTGAAGAAACTGGCATCAATGCTTGCCGGACAGTATACTCCCAACTCTTTTCTTCTTTGCAACTATCGCCAGCAGTGTCTTCGACATTAATTCCAGCCATGGGACTATGTACTTGGCCGCCAACATAATAATCAAGATTGGTCGTTTTTAGTTCAAAACAATGCATTGGTCCTATAAATATTTCTAAGGTTAAAATTTTAACAATACATTTTTTTTATTTATTGTCTGTTAACGTTTTGATAACGAATATGTCATCAATTGCGTGTACCTGAACCACGAGAAGCTTTGGCACTGTCGACAGTTAGTATTTCGGAGAGAGGTATTTCTTTGTAGTATTTCGATGTTTTTTCATTAACAAATAATGTGATCATCTTAGAGTCTAATCTCCAATAGTGAACCTTTCTCTAAGAATTTTCATTTAAAAAAGACAAAAATATTTTTAAAACAAATATTTAAAAAAAAAAAAATTGAAATGCTTATGACCAGGACCACTAACCTGATTGTCTTTGTTGGTAAAATGAACTAGCCATCCCTCTTTGATTACTTTGGAGCCGCCTCGTCTCTTTGTATGCTTAATTGACTGAACTATCCGCATCAACGGAATGTTGTTACAAGGAGTTGAGCTACTAGAAATACAAAATTGTACTAGCCATTTTATTTTATGAAATACAGGATAACTAAACAGCATAGACTACGTACCCAATAAAATTCGAACCGTCTTGAGCGTTGTTCATCATATTATCAGTGTAATGGGCTGTGATTGTTTCCTATAAAAAAATATATATATTATAAATCAATCATGGTTAAATGTAAAAATTACAGACTGCCTTTGAGCTAAAAAATCAAATTTTAATTTTAAATTTTACTAACCACTGGGCTGGTAGGACTTTGACCATTGAAAGGACTTTCCAGTGTTAATGTCTCCATGGCTTGCACGATGCGAGGTGGTGAAGGTGTGTTTTCACCATCGCTATCACCATCGTCGTCTCCTTTGCAACCGGGCCCTTCTTGTTCAGATTCACTACCAACCCCACTTTCTGTTACAAAACCACAGTGGAAAAATGTAATTAAGTGATACAAACAATAAAAACTTATTAAACCAAATCATAACTTAATTAACAACAATATTCTGATTTAAGAGGACGACACACCACCAAACATTTTTACATTGCACAAAGAAACACTTTAAATGTATTTAGAGTTTTAATTTTTTTTTAAAGTTGATCACAATCCAAATTACTTAATTGTAATAATTCTTTTTTTTCTGATCTTCATTTGTTTATAAAAAAATATTGAGTATTGATATAAAAAAATTAAAACGCTGGAACACAAGTATCAGATTTTTTTTATGTAATGTGAAAATTGTGTAAACTTCTGTGAATAAAACATGTAATATGTATCTATGTTATAGATTAAGCTCTAAATTAAGATTTTTGTGAAATATTATCTATACTTTACTATTTAATAAATGGGTGGTGTGGCATCCCCTCAACACAATAATTATTTGAAATACTCTATGCGTATTTTCCTTACCATTCATGTCAACTGGATACTCGCTTATACAATCTTTTGGTACAAAGTCCATACACTTTTTGTGAACGTTATAATGACAATCCTTGCATTGAACACCTTGTTTGTAAATTCCTTTGAGCAATTTCTTACAATGTTGGCAAATAGTTGGTCTTGTGTAGGTGTGTATAACAAACGTATGCGGGATTTTCACAGGAGAAGGCGATCGACTTTTACTTTTCATTGGAACGTTTAACAAATTTCCACTGGCAACCTAATGTACAAATTTCAAACAACACACGACGAATAAGAATAAAAAATACTTAACAACATTTCTAAATACTACATCTGATTGTAATTTTAAATATTTATTTTAAAAATTAATACAAACCGATTCATCAGACACAGCTGAAGCCAAGGATATACTTGATGGGCTACGTGGTGCTGTGCACGAGTTTGAAGTGCTCATTTTTTGTTTATACTTATTTCGATTTCCGCCACCACAATCGTTGAGCAGTTTCACAACACACCTCTTGTGATAATTCAAATTGCAACCTACCAAAAAAATTGCGATATTAAACATTTTAAAATAATTTTATTACTTAATTATAAATATAAGGTTATCTGTATGCAATATTATAACATACAATATTGTTAGATTGTATGTGTAGAGTTACAACATAACAGTTCATATACACAAAATTATACCTGAACATTTCAATCCTTGCCGCACGATACCAAATAACATTTGACCGCAGTAATCACAAAACGTAGGAGTTTTATATGAATGCACGGCCAAAGTGTGTGGTCTGATAATGGTGGGTTCATACTCGTCGGACAATAATTGACCTAAAAATAATTCAACAATAAATAACATCAATTTAATTATTTTTATACAAAACTAAAAACAGTTTTTAGATTTATTACCTGACAAAACTATTTCTATGATTGTATCATCGCTTATATCTATGACGTTGTGCACAGGCACAAGGATTTGATCACAGCTGTAATTGTGGCGGAACAACATAATTCTTTCGGCCAAACGCGTGAGTCCGTGATCAGAACACTATACAAAAGTATTTCAATCAGATAAAACAATCATTTTACACTAATAACTACACACACACACATTGAAAAAAAAAAACTACGGTCAAATTATTCGAACATAACTTCCTCAAAAACGAGTTCTACATATACTACACTTCATTCTGAATAAGAATAAATCAGCGCAGTAACCAAAATTCTTTACACCTGGCTATGCTAGAACAACTAGGCGCAGCCAGGAATTAAGTATAGAAATTAAATAAGGAAAAAAAAGAATATAGGTTCTCATTGTAACATAAAAAAAAAATGTCAAAAGCTGAGGCATAGGTGAGTTTGACTGATAACAGTAAAAATAGTCATAACTTTTACAATTCTTTTATCTAAAGAGCTGAAATTTTTAACACATATTCAGGCAACCACAAACTATCTAAATTACAGTGTACATTTAATAGATTGTGAATAAATAAAAAATTCCTATCAAACCCAATCACCACCAAATTTTTATCAGTTCATCTGAAGAATTGATCAAATATACCGGTAAAATTTTAGGGAAAAATTTGAATCCACTTAGTCGCCATTGTCGAACAGACAAAAACACACACTCATATACACGGACCAAGTGCGAATTTGTTATATATTCAATAAAAATACTTATTTGGTCTAACCCTATCACTGGATTAGAATAACCTATTTTCCAGGTTTAAGAAAGCAAAATGTTTTTATTTTATTTTTAATCATGTGTATTTATATTTTATATGTTAAAAGTGACTGGTTTTTTTCCCGTTCCCTTAAAATATACTCTATTTCATGTAGCTTCTAACAAATTGACAATTGTCCATCCTTCATGTAAAAAACTATGAAAAACAAATTTAAAAATTGAATAAATAAATAACTTGACTAAATAAACTGTACAGAATTTTGATAGTTTTAATAGAAATAAAAAAATAGAACAAAATATTTTTTAGTGAATACAAAACCATATTTGATTTGTAATCTTAAATAGGATTAAGTAAATTTTATGAACAGGTTTTAACATAGAATGAATATGTATTAATATGTAAAAATGTTTAGTGCTTTATGACACATATTTTCATATAGATGTTTATAACCATAACTTACCTTCATGTTCACAAAATCACACGCCGCCTCCTTTAGAGTTTTTAAAGTAAACAAAGAAGAGTTCAACGAAATTGTGTCACGAACCATTCCGAGTTGAAAAATGAACGTTATCTCTTTGTCTTCCATTTCACTTGGTATTGATCGACAAAATAAGTTAAAACTGCAAGCAAACAAAAACTTGTTAATACCACATTAATAGTTCTATCTAGTGTATCCTAATTGAAACACTCAAAAACCACTGTTCAAGGTTAACGACATTGTGTATGTTAATTATCGTTTTGGTAATATCACACATTTGAGCAAACGGATTACAATAAAATTAAGGAGACGTCGAGAGGTCATATTGTTATACTTAATAAGACCTCGAGAGTTCCAATGGCAAACATTGTCCACTGCAACAACTCGAATGAGATCGGCAACCTCTACGTGTGCTCTACTACGGGGAGGTATGATGAGAAATACAATAAAATAAATGCATATGATTTTTTTTTATCAAATTAATAATTGTCGTTATAATTAATTAATTGAATCACTTTTTTTTTTTATTATTATTCAAAACTCACCTCGAGACGGACAATTTACCGCGTTAAACCGACACGGTAATTAACACAGAACATAACGGCACCGTTTGGCGTTTCCACCGTGGACCACAACAATACTGAATTCCGCAGCGAGAAAAACATTTATGCCTAATTAATTTACATGTTATGGGACTAGGTACCTACTTTACGGACAACTTTCACCAAGACCGTGAATGAATTTCTAACATCGAAAAAAAAAACATAACGACGTGTATGAAGCTAGCAGTATTTATTCTCGAGTCAGCTATGATAAAACTTGATAACGCGATAAATTTTTGCCTGTCAATTCTGCACCAGCTGTATAATAATGGGTAATAATTAGCGTTGGTACGACAAAACATCACCCGTCAACATGTACCACCGCTAAATCACGACATTAAGGCCACCCGACAACAGTGCGCATGGCAAAACTTGAAAACAAAATACAACCCACTGGACACAATGTCTCAATATATCGAATTCGGTGGACACAACCAAAGGGGTGCTCGATCACAGCCCTTTACAGTCCCTAAAGTGAAGATAAGGTTCTAAATAGAAGATAGTTGGTCTACTTTTATAACTAAACGGTGTTTTAGAACCCCTTGAAAAATTGTACGTACCTAGCCGCCACAGTCGGTATTGCAAGTACTCTAGGTGGTACTTAGTATTGATATAAGTACTCTATATTATCGAGTATTAAAAAAATTACATATTTTAAATACAATTTTCTAGTACCTATTGAATACAAATAATACATATTGTTATAATTTTTTTTTTTTTTTAGGTTTTAAAAATTATTTATATGTATAATTACTATTGAAATGCATTAATTTGCAGTAACCAAAAAAAAAAGACCTGTACAATATTTAACCCTTAAGTAATTATAAGACCTGACGTTCAATAAATGTAAAAATCTAGCACAGAGGGCCCGTGTGTATAAGCTTGCTAGGATTTATTCATGTGTTTTTTTTTTTACTATTTTAAGTTATAACTTTCGTTAAAACACAATTAAAGCTCAACAGTTACATATAAAATATACAGTACAGGACATTAATGATATCAACTAAATTATGTCAATACAATTAAATACAAATTTAAAGTAAATAAAAATGAGATAGAGAAAGGACAGACAAAAAGAAACTATGTACGTTTTATTTCAGAGAGGAGTGTATTGAGGACTGTGAACAGAAGACTAATTAAAAAGTTAATAATGGCTTTTAAGACAGAGGTCTATTAATATGTATTTTTTAAAAGAGGGAAAATGCTAATATAAAAATTCTACTATGCAGACAATAATAATATGTATTTATAATCGTGTTGTTAGGGTTTTCTGTTAAAAATAATAAGTTGACTACAGATTTTCTTAAGTTTTTAGTTTAATTTCAAAATTGAATAGGTAATTCTTAAACAAAAATGTGTTTTCAGTATTTGAAAGTATTTGAGTAATGAATACTCAAGTAAATATCGAAAAATAGTACTTGAATCCTACTGATTTTAAGTAAATTTATAGTAATGAATTGTTTAAGTATTTGTGTACAATGATATTTTAATGTGATTGTAATTTTTTTCCCATTCGGTAACAAAATTTAAGAAGGCGTGATATTGGAATCCCTTATAGCATTAACATATAGACCTATATATTAATTTAGATTTGCATGTTAAGCTATTTGTTTTTTTTGACATTGGTATAGTAAAATATAATTTATTTGAGTTTTAAAATAATAACATCATACAAGAGCCGAAGTCTTTTACATTTTTTTTTTTATGTGATTTTTTCAATAATTAGAGTGAATTTTAATGACTATTTTTTATCATTTAGTTAGATAAATTGGTTTAGTTGTTTTTTTTATAAATATCCACGTTTGAATTAATACGTTTGGTGAAATGGTTCAAAATTCACTTTTTTCTGTTTCTATTTCCATTAACTTAACTTATTCAACTAAAAAAATCGACAATGCACGTCGTATATTTTTGTTTTTTTTAGTTTTATCAAAAATGTTTAGACTGTATTATCACTGCAGGCAAAAATAGAACAGTTATTTTGTAATAGTTTCTTTTTATTGAAAGACAGTGTCCAATTAAGAATTATACCTCGTATTATAATTACTATATATTGTTTTAAAAAACAATATTTTTCATATTTTTATTTTCATGTTTTTCGAAAACCTATTTTGCGTTATGAATGTAATGCAAGAGACATGTCAAAGAAATTAAGTTGCTAATAGTTTTGAAATTTATTATACGGGCTAAGTTGAATGGCTTTTGAATCAAAAACAATATCTAGTCAAATATGAAAACGAACACAATACTTTTAAATCATTACAATTTTGGCTCGATAGTAAAATACAAAACAACAACAGCTCACTGTAAGACAAATGGATACAAAATACAACATTGCTTTTCACTCTGCATAGATGGAAAATAAACCAAAATAATAAATATTTGTATAGCAAACACTTGATATTGATACAAGTGTTTAGAAACACCATTACTAGTTTCCTCAAGAAAGTAATCCGCACATGGATAAAGAAAAAAAGAAAAAATAAGTGGCTAATTAAAAGTATAGTGTGTATAAAGCGGTTAGTGGATCATAGTTCCTAGTCAATTATAAAGGGAACATGTCAATGAATTAAAAATATTACATTTTTGCACCGATAAAAAAACAAAATAATAAATCATTGCAAAACAAATAATTTACATGTGTTTCAAAACTTAATTTACCAAACCTGTCATCCTGATATCTGCAACAAATCAAAACATATTTAACAATGGAGCTATTTGAATAAATAAAATATTATTAAATGTTTTGAACTAAGACAAGAAGGCGGTTTAAAAAAAAAACGTTGTCCGTTTTAAAGTCTTTTTACTAGTTGGAGACTTCGTTTTCTTATTTAAATAAGAAAAAATAAAGTTTTTGAAAAATATGCCATTTTGTTTTCAATGTTTTTATAAATAAATATATATAGTAGTCATATACAAATTTAAAAGTCTGTACACATTTCTCAAATACCTAGGTATATTAAACTTGCACAGGGTTAAACAAACCTATTACAATTTTGTACTACTTTTGTGTTATTATTTTAAATTGATGTGTTAAAAATTAAGAGTGTGGTTGTTATTTTTAATAATACAAAACCGGAAGTATATTTTATCATTTTGCGTTTGAATGCAATTGAAACAAATTATGAAACTTTTAGAAAATATTGTTGTTGAAAACGTTTTCTATTAAATCAATAACATATTAAGGTCATGTTTAACAGATAGTACAGTCTTTATTCAAATTTTCTATGTTTGCGCAGTGAACCATAACGTGAATTTATTTGACATAAGCAAATTTTAAAAAAAATTATAAAATAATAAAAAAAATATTCTGGGTTGCACCAAACTTTCCCGTCCTATTTCATCTACACACAAAAACGCAAAAAACTCTAAAATTTAAAAAAAAAATGTTCACATGGTAATGATAAGATTTTTTTTAATGACTACAGTCTACATTATACTGTTGTCTATCTGTATGAATGTTTTTAATTAATGCGTCAATAAGCATAGATACAAAGTAAGTACCTATGCATATTTTTGCCACTCCTCATTAAATAAGAAAAGCTTGACAGTTGAGAGTATGATAACTTCTCATTCTCAATGCTTTAAGACAACCGAATTTTATTAACCATTTAATGCGCGATTTTTTTGTTTTTTACAAAGAAAAATTTAAATCACTTATTATAACTTGCGTGAATGTTTTTAGGAAATAAAAATTCTATACAGGACACGGTAAAAGGCGAGAGTGATTTTAGTTATTACAATCACTTCAGTAATTATTATAAAGATAAAGACCCAAATAAATTTTCAAGCGTAATAGAAACTTACTGCCACAAAAGTAGGTAATTTTGATTTATTTATTATTATAAATAATATTTATATCAACCCAAAATTGTTATGAAATATTTCATATTAGCTACGACGCGATTGTATTGTTTATACAATGATGTGTTTTAATTTTGTATTTTTTCATCTGGATCGACGTTCTTAGCCACTGAACCAATTGCTTCACAAACGATCCTTAGAGATTAGAAATTGTATCTCAAATACACTTAATTAGGACGAATATAAATAAAGTTACACGAAAATTAGAAATTGGAATACTAGAGCACTAAAAACGGAATTTAAATAATTATGCAATGGTTTAGTAGTAATAATAAACTTTCCCTACATTATGTATAATTTATAATCTAGAGATTCGCATGGAAGCGTTTATTTGAAAATGATTGTATCACATTCCTCAATCCTAATATAGTCTGTCCCCACTATTATGTGACCCCAATGTTCTGGCTTTTCTTGTGTTATAATGTGGTTTCTAGGTGTTGGTGAACACAGGATGACTTTTAATGGAATTTACAAATGCTGCGCCTAAAGACCGCATACAAATATATGCTCTATACAGATGATGTTATAATTATTATATTATATAACACTTATTTTATGAGCCTTTTAGTTTTAAAAAAACATTGGATAAAACAAAATGATAGGTACTTCATAACAAAATGTTTTAACATTTTTGAAAATTATTTAATGTGTTGTTACATGGTATTATTTAAGAAATTTGTGGTTCTACAGCATCTACTTAACCACCGTCTGAGACGATATCGACAATGTTAGTGAAATAAACCAACACAGGTTGGTATCCGTAGACCTATTACGCCTAAAACCATGTTGCTCATTAGGAAGCAAAGGTTTAAAAACTTGCTCCTAAGTCCTAAGTACTTTCGTGCAGCGGAATTACATCATTACATTTATTGAACTTTGTAAGATGAAGAAAACTTATGCAAGCATACATATATATATATATATATATTCTCTATTATTTACTAAATTAAATTGACTAATTGTTAATGTTTATTTCGATTTTTTATTGGCACAGTGGATATTGCTTACCAAAGGAGCGGAAGGCCAGTATCAATATTTTGGGACACGTTATGTCATAAACAAAAAAAAAATAATAATAATAATACTTAATACTAATTTCCTATAGACAAAATAACAGTGCTTTTAAAGAAATAATTTGATCCAGGAAATAAATTGGGGAAAACTACTTTGTTTCACTATTTTATAGGTTTTAATATCTATTATTTTGTTATTTTAGCTAGCACAATTGCAATGGTTTGTTGTAATTCCTAAAATGAATGACCGATTGACGACCGATTGAATGATAAACAATTATCATTTAATTGATTGTAAAT